GGTCATTTCCAAATAGTATGAACCCCTCTAACTGACAAGTTACAAGTCTTTCTTTCTATCTTTCTTTTATTTAAATGAGTAAAGGAACAATTCTGCGATGTACAGAACATACATTTTCCAATTAAATTTAGGTTTATTTATGAGAAGCTTCATACTTCAGGATTTTTAAAATGTTTCTTATTCTGATTAATTTCTGACCAGTCCTTTTTTTTTAATGATGTCTGGGGTGTTTCAACATAAATACAAGATTTTTTAAACTAAAATCTATTTATTGGATTTATAACTATAAGATCTCTACACTTGAAAGTCTGTCTATTAAATAAGTAAATTTAATTAACTTTTTTGCTGTTATTAGTCATTATCATATCCCAGGAACAAATGATTACATTGTCACACCCAAAGAAGGCTCCACAACCGAAAGGTTTTTTTGAGCATAAAATAAACCTTTACTTGTTCCTTCGCAGGCTACGCATGCTGACACAGCTACCTACTTGAACTATTATCACATCACTTTCAATAATGGACTATCAGATTCAGGGTCTCAGTGGACCTGAGACTATCCTGGGAAAAACTTGGAAGAAGGCACAAGACAACCTGAAAGGGATGAGAGTCCATCACAGGCCACACACACTCAGAGTAGGGATAAAACCATTTTTGGACAGCGAGAGGAAACCAGAGCACCCATATAACACACACAAGAACATGGAAAGAAAATACACTGTAACATTGTTTGCTGGAAGTAACAGATCAGTCTATAAACAGTCAAACGATTAATGTAAACAATTAGAAATTTAAAAGCAGTTAATAAAATATTATGAAAACTTTATCATTATAATAGATGTGAGGTGTACAAGTATACAGCGGGTCAAATGGAAACATCAGTAAATTAATTGAATAATTAAAAAATACTCCCTTAACTAAGACATAACTGGCACCACCTTACTTCATATGAAATTATACCATATGCTGTAGCAAAACCGTATGGAACATAACTACCAAATGGGAAATTCATCTATGCTGAATGTGAAAATACGGTAATATTAGGTTACTGATGACAAAAAAGTCCACGAATCAGAACTTTGAGAGATGTCTCATGACCTCTATTTTATGAATGACTATCAATCAAGACAGTCAGCGGTACTGTACATTTTTATAAAGGCCTTTTTAGTCGTTTCCATTTGCCAACAGCTTTTACTGCTTTTTTGTGCTGACTTTCATGATTGTCATTAACTTACCATATATAAAAGTGCAAATGTTATAATATTAGTGCAATTGGCCATCATCATGTATTCCAAAGTGCATTTCAAAACCCTCTGTGTTTTATCAATAAAACTAAAAAGTAGAATCAGGTTATTCACTGAAAACCATCACTCAGAGTCTATGTCTCAGTTCCCAAAGGACCTCCCACTGCCTTCAACCATATTTTTACAGATTCCAGACTTACAGTATGTTCTAAGCCTTCTTCAGAAAAGGTAATAACAGCCCACACTCAAAGCAAGCAGTTACAGAACTGTTTGCTTGTTGCTGTTGGAGGATGATTCTGGCCACATATGTCTTTAAAAACCGCAAGAAAAAATGTACTGTCATCGAACAGATGACACACTATGAGGAAGCAAACATTTCACTGGTGTTTTGTGAGAAAGCACTGTAATGTAAGAAATTCTTAGACCACCTTTGCTTCATTACTGAGCCATATGTGGGTTTTACTTGACAAGCAATTTGTAACATAAAAAAGATCCATTCCTACGGTACATACAATAATGATTCTGCAGCCTACTTACTGCTGTGACGAATAGCAGAAGGTTAGTATGAAGAAGCTAGAAAACCCCATCAAAACTCATTCAGTACCTTGATCACATTTTCAGTAGAATAAAATCACTCAGCAAAAAAATAGATTTCGTGATTGGTTATGCAGCAATTAATGAAACAAGATAAATCAGAACATGAAAAACATGTTCCAAAGATGTTTCGGAAGAACACAGCAGTTTTAAATTCTTTAACCGAAGCTGTTTTATTAATTCAGGGTTAAAAGATGAAGACAAGGAAAGTGAATCACATATTCATTTTAGTTTTTAAAAATGAAATAAAAAAAATCCAGTGCAAAAGAAACATAGGGTAGCTCATGTAACCTTTTTTCATTGGAATGTGTTAGAACAGGACTGTTTTTCTTGTATACAAGGAATTAAGAACTAACGTGCCATTTTGCTCCGGACAACTGCTTTGCGATTCTTGCAGTGTTTTATATAATTCTTACAATAACGTAACCCTAAGAGGTAAAATTCAATAAATACAGTGCAGGCTTTCCTAAAAAAAAGATGAAATGATATTTATTTTAATTCATTCCATGCCTTTAGGGAAAGAACAGATATAAAGGGTTCCATGAAAGGTTAATATTAGCATAAGTGAACTGTTTCAATTACCTTAATACTGAAGATACAGAAAATGCTATTTTCTTTTCTTAGAGCCAAAAATAATAATAATCATACTTCATGCTTCGTAAATATTATAAGAGTGGTAAGTATTGTTTAAATATTTAAAAGATTTTAGTTTTATTGATCAAAACTTGAAATATTAGAAAACAGACTTTTGGGGGGCTTTCTGATATGATCCCTGTAGACTCTTCATCAGTATGCATGATTTTTCATGGCTAATTTCTCATGTGCTCTTTTAGTGCTATTCGTAACCTATATGTTGCATTTAATTCATGGCAGATGTTATGGGCTTTTGAGGCAACAACATGCCAGCATTGTATTGAAAAAGCACCCTTCAAAACATATGAAGTTTGTGCTATTCTAGAATGAAAACTTTATGTAATCAACTTAATGCATTATTCAACATAAATTACCTTTTAACAACTGAGGATTTTTGTTTTAACCCAATGAACAAACTGGCAAATATACAACCTAATAATTCTGTGGTAAAACGTAATAGTTTCAATCTGCTTCCAGGAACACACTGAAAAGTCTTTCATATGCTATGGGGAAGCTAACATCCCTATTCTACTGTGAGAAAGATCATTTTTACTAGGGGAGACAGTTATTAATCAGGTATCCTCTACACTTAAAGTGTAGAACTTATAAGGACAAATGTCCTAATCATAGCATTCACAGCTGTGTTAGGGTCTTAAATGTCAAGCAATCTTCTCACATACAGTATACAACAATGTTGCCAGTGTGAAGATACTAGGCAGTTCACTCTCATATTATATGTTCAGAATGCATCCCTGCCATCTTACCAATATCATTCCATGTTTTCCATAAAGAATGGCATGAAACAACAGTGATGTAAAATTTTACTCACTTCTTTTTATTGATTTCTGACCACATTCTAAAAGACCCAGCAGTGAGCCACCGACGCAGAATGGCTGCAGGATACACCATAAGGTGCTGCATTTCAGTTGGAGATGAAGTCAGCCCTATTCTATAATGAATGTACTGTACAGTGGTTTCATTATCTAAAGCATCCACAAGTACAAGGGATCATTATTATAATATTATATATTATTTGTTATACAAAATATCTACTGTTACAGAATTATTTCAAATTAGGAAAACACCTAAATGCATTTCTCATAATTTGTAAGTGTTTATTTTTTCATTTCCCAAGAGTTCAGACAATTGATTTTATCATAAATATATTTCAATTTTGTGATACTTCAAATGAATCATAAAACAATAATTCTATCACCAGAATTAAGAGCTGCTTCTCCAGAAAGGTGTTTAATCAAACAAAGAAGACCCACTCCAAAGGTCTGTCAGAAATTGGTCTGTCACATGTTCTTCATGTTCTTTCATGCTTCTGTGCAGCTTGGCTATGAGTGACCAAAGGCTTGGCCAGTTCCAATTGCTTTCTTATTGATGGCATTGAGATGACCTCAGAGATATTCTCCTGGACTCGTGTCAGGGGAAAAAAGCTGGCCATGGGAAGATCTCAGTATTGTTGTGACTTTGGAATTTTAGCACAGTGTGGTCTTGTGTGGTGCTGCTGGAAAATTGAAACTTATAGACTATGATTTTGCAGTACCAGAACAACTTTTGGTTCAATGACTTCATCAGTCCACTCCACTACAGTATTTTGAAATTTTCAACATGTAGCACTCACTACAACATCTCCACCTTTTTGTCTTCTGTCAGGTCTTTTAAGAGCAGAATGGTAGTATTCAGTAATAGCCTTCCCATTGAAGACAGCAATAGCATTTCTCAGCTGTTGATGTTACCCTTGCACTGCCTCTGTGTAAGAAAGACTTTCATTCAGGTTGTAAGATACAATAATTTTGGTTAGAATTTTTCTTCCTTGATTTTCTCATGTTGTAGACTCTCTGGTGAGAAAACAGTTCAACAAGGTGGATCACATGGTTGTGGTGGCCCTGGGATGTGACACATCCCTGAGAACTGGTTTCCTGGTTTCTCTGGACTAGTCTGTTTGCTGCTGAAGCAGAACTATCATTCTCCAGGCAACGTCTTACACAGAAAGGCCTCTTTATTTGGCCTATCTTATATGAGAAATGGTTGTATATTTCATTATTCTTGCATTAATGCCAAGCCTTAGTGTCCTATTGAGCATCATTTATACAGACTTCACTATGATCTTACGTGGCAACTTCAACAACTTTTCCCAAATAACAATTAGGACCTATTTTTTAAAAAATACAATCACATTCCAAGGAACAATACTACGCAAACACTCCATTCGCAAGCAAAACCTATTTGCTTACCATGTAAAATGTACATGACATTTTTTGCAAGCTCAATAAGGTGCTAATACTGTTATAGTTACTGCTATAGCTTCGTTGTGCTTCAGTATAAGTTAAGCAGTCCCCAAAGAAGCAGCAACAACACACTGTACATAGACCAAAAAAGCATACTTATATCCCCAAACCTACAAAAGCCAAAGCAAATAATTTCTTTAGAAAATGTCAAAGCACTTGATATGAGAATCCCATGAACCCCCCCCCCCCACACACACACACACCTTTTCCCAATTGAGAGAATGCTACTCACATGTATGCTCCTCAGCTTGTTCTTGCTTCTCTCCAGTCTGCTAAGCAGCTTGTGTTGCTCCTTGTGTGGCTGCTGGAACAAACGATCATCAACTGAGATGCTTTTCCTCAGAACTGGTCTGTGTGAGATTCCCCAGATGAACACAGGATCATTTTTGTCACTGTTAGAGTTGTGCTTCTCTGCAGATGCAGGCAAGGTTTCGTCTCTGTCATATCTGCGCTGCTGTGCCCCTAGTGAAGGGAAACAATAGATACCCAGTGACAACTGATAGCCTAGGAATACTCAGGGGATAGCAAGCTGAGATCTTGAACTAACACATTTCATTACAATGATGCTGTCCTTCAGGTTTCTCCCTCTGACACTGTCAACCCTAGATAGACCAGTGTATGACTCCACTGTTTTATCAGGCTTCTGTCAAACTATCACCTGTGCCAAAACCTAAATGCCCCTATGAAAAGAGAATGTCACTCAGATATGTTTTTTTTGTAAGTTTCCCTTTGAAATGCAGGATAATGCAATACAGTAAAGACACTCTCTTTAAAGCGCATCCATGAAGCAATAAAAAATTCCAAGTTTCATGTGTTTATACCATATACATGAAATAATAAAAGGTAGGTGGATTTAGAGAAAAATAAAACACTGTTTATAATCAAAAACATTTAACTACTGAGTCTATAACATCATTTTTTTGTGGAAAAAGTAACCAGTGAATTCTCATTGGTAAGGGTAATCTTTAGATTACTTTTTTGTCCACATTTTTTAACAGGACCTGTCCAGTTCAGACAAAGAATATAAAACTACTAAGATCTGCTTTGAAGAGATGCCATGCAATGTAAATTATAATTAAAAACAACTATGGTTAGCAAAGCCAAACTAAAAACTTAAGTCATAGTACAGATGCATGGCACATGTAACTATAGGTTTGTATCTTTACTGATGAATTTTATATGTACTGTACTGCACCCAATTCAGCTCTGATTTCTCTGAATATGTGGTTTGACCCAACTCCACCCCCATTTGGAACTTGAAAAGATCTTTTTCAGTTTTATCAATAACAGGTGGCCCCTACCTGCATTTCACAATGAGGCAGGAAAAGGGAGACAGCAAGAACATAGAATGGAGAGAGTGTGCCTCAGAGAGAACATACTGTACCATCGGCACTCTTGATCATTCTCATCAAAAACTTTTCTAATCAAAACACTGACCTTCCATTTTTGTACAGACAGATGTTTAATGTTTGGAAAACAATCAATAACTGTAGCAGGAGGAATACAGTTCATGTGGTCTTATTTTGTAGTAAATCTACTGTGTGTGATTATACAGTATATGGGTGTTTTAGGGAAAATAAAACCTATAACTTTCTGTGATAACTATAATCTTCTGTGATATTCCTTTGTATGGCAAGAATATGTAACACATTTAAACACAAATTATTTCTGTTATATATTTAAGGGGGGAAGGGGTATTACAACCAACTTATTTCATTATCAACCTACAGACAACTCATGTGTCATTAATAACTCTGAAGTATCAGGGTTGCTGCAGAAAACTTTAATGATTAATCTCCCTTATATTCACGTTTTTTCCAATAAGAAACTAAAAATTGCTGTACACTGATTAATGAGTAGGAATATACCAATTGAATAAAAATGTCATGAATCAACCTGAAATATGTGGGATGAAAGCAGGAAATGGATAAGTGTGTAATTTTCTCTGGAGTAATGTTTAAACTTTCCTTGTTTTTTTTTTTACTGTATAGTACATGCACTGAACATTTTGTCAAGATAAGATGTAGTATAAAAAAACAATGCGCTTCTACTTAAACAAAATACAAACAACTATTCTGAATTTTAAAAATGTGAGCAATTTTACATTACAAACTTTGTATTAATGGGATAGACAGTAACTCAGGTCTTTTGTACTTATTTGTGCCAAATACTGTTAACTCCCACATTACTCAGACAAGATTTGTTTTATTCTGTGGTATTTGTTATCATTTGTATATAAGGAGTTATATAAGAGCCCTCCGGCCTCTATAAAAATTTAATTATTTGTTTCTGAACTCAACTCCTAATGTGTTGAAACCCTTTAAGCAAGCCTAGAGGTAACCTATATTATCATTTTTGTGATTAAGTTACTTTTTTCTACAACAACCAAGATGAGTGACAGAAGAAAAATGAATACCTACTTAAGTCAAAGGTTTTACTTCCTTCCTAATCCTGGCATTAGTCATGCTTCAGAGTATATTATACACACTGTGGATGGATTTGTAAAGAAATGTCATTCATTTCTGACCTTATTGATTTTGCATGACTGTGTGCACACATGCATCTGGTATCTACCTCCCCCCAAAATACAATAGACCTCAACCTATTTTTTTCCAAATCTCTCAGGTTTTACATCTGCATAGCTTTCCTTTCTTTAAATATAAGCACTGTCCTTTCACTCCCCAAACCCCAGCAAAGGCTTGGAAATTATGATGGCTGTTAACATTAACTGCGGACGAACCAATACTGAACCACATTGTAGTTAACCCATACTGCAATCACAATAGCACCAGACCAACAGAGCATACATTCATACCAATATCCTTAAGTATATAAACTTTAAGTTCTTAAATAAGGTCAAAGACGTACTGTATTAATGTCAGCATAATTTATATTACAAATATACACAGAACATGGAGGTGACATTCATATGTTCGTATTCTCTAAATATAATCTTATTCTGCAAGGCCAACAAGGCTGCTGTTGTGTCATATGGTTTATGGTTAAAAAGGACACACTCAAGCCTTCTGTATTGGTCACAAAATAAAACAGTATTTCAAATATTGTTAAAAATATCTTTAAAGACTAAAGTTTGAGATGTTTGCAATACCATACAAATGAAATTGCACTTAATGTAAAAAACCCTAAAAACCTGAAACACTTTAATATAGAATAAAATGCAAAACTTTATCCAGACCTCTATTTTTTACTGGACATGACTTGGAAATCAAACATTATGTACAGTATGTTAAAGATCAGAGATTCATTAAATTATTTAGTCAGTACAAAAATTACATCCCTTTTCTGTCCAAATTAACTCTGTTACATTTCACGTTCAATGCATTATTGGACTACAAATAAAGTAGTCCAATACAAAGAAAAGAACTGGTGATCATTTTCTCTCCATGTGGAACAAAAGTATTTGACTATATTAAATTATATATTTTACATATGTCAGTAAATGAAATAGGTCTAAATATCTAGTCTTCCTCAATTATACTAATATCTTTTATGATTTGACAGCTGCATTTTTTCAGAACACCATATAAACATACTAAGAATACAGTGAAATGGACTTGATACTGAAGATCCAACATAGCCTGTGTAAGTTACTACCTGGGGAGAAGGAACAACATATATAAGCACTTCCTGTATGTCAAAGTGTTTGGTACAGTTCCCAGAATTGTTTGATGATACAGCTCTGTAGGTGCCATTAGAGCATAATCAGAGTCATTCCTGGAACAAAAAACAACAGTAATGATCACTGATGAAACAGTTAGCAATGCTACTAGGGATGAATAAACAGAATCATATTCAGCTTCCATCTGTGAAGCTTTTGTCATGACATCTTTTGTCATGACAAATGTCTGAGTAAGATACAGAAAATTAGAATCTAAAATCCTTTTCCCAGACTTCACTGTCATTTTAAGAGCAAGTTTAATCTCTGTTGTCTGATGTTACAGTTACAGCTTTCTCTCCCCTGAATACAGATAGGCACAAAGTCGTTAAAAGGGAAGACAAGAGGTTTTGCGAGATTAAATTAACCTAGTATTGAGGTAGCACGTAGCACATTTAATTTTACCTATTGAGGATAACACATCTTTATTTGATTATGAGATACAGGCTCCAGCCCAATGAATCTTTGGAGGATCACATCAAAAAGTGTTCTTTTTCAGCGAGATACACTCAGTCAGTTTCTTGGCATACCGAACTGTTCACTTTACACATGATTAAATCAATGTCTAAGTCCTAGTCAAGTAATTCTGGTTATTTCTTGTTATTTCCAACTGTAGTTTTGCAATAGTAGGAATTTAATATTGTATTATGGAAACAAAACAGTGTAATGACTTATAATTGTCAATATTGTAAATGCCTCACTGCAGTCATTAAGTCTCTAACATAGTGATCTGGAATGTTCTGTTCCTAAAATGATTCCATCTCAATTCAGGGAAAAAGACATAAAGAATTACCATCATAGTTATACCAGATATTGGATAAATACTTGACAATATTGACTGAATACACTGCATGTGTTCATAATTGTGTTTCTCCTTGTGGGTATTATTTTTAACCTTCTAGTCACCAGCAGATCGGGAGCTATCAAATGCACAGAAAAAATATGGGAAGAATCTAGTGCTATGACAGTAATGTCATGAGCTGCCCCAGAAAAAAAAAAATATAGTCTTTAGAGACCAGGGAAACAACTCCTGCCATGCTGGAAGCCAAATAATGAAGAACAAGATGAACTGAAGATGTACAGGAAAACAGAAATGGACAAATATGTAAGAAAAGTAATGTAAAGTATACTATCAAATATCTCAGCTTTTTCTTGTGCAAAAATACATTTAATAAGGCCTATAAAGAACTATAAGGAACATGTACAGGGCAAGAAAGCCAATTAAAAATTAAACTGATATAAGGTACATTAAATATACACTTGAAAATCTAGGTACCCAAGTTATAAACCTCATCAGTGTTACATCCAGCTCTAATGCTGTTCTTTGTGTTGGTTTATTATACACAATGCTCCCCTGGATGCCTGCTGTGCTACACTAGTCTTCCTTCAAAAAAGGGCAGATAGAAAACAGGCATAAGGTTTCAGTGCACTCATTGTAACAGATGATGTATTTCCTCAGCCATCATATGCTGAAGACAAGCATGGATAGAGTTCTTCCTGCAGGTCAGAAGAGATCCTTTTGCCATTTGTAAGCGTGACTAGGTTCTTAAACAGGAGGCCAATTAAAATTTCATGACTGGATTCTAGCAATTATCTAATTGAAAAATGGCTTGCACACACCAGGCCTCACTGGGAAAAAAACAATCTATTTGCAAATACACATTATACATGCTTTATTTATACAGATCAGAATTAACAAGCAAAGCTTTCACTATTGTTATAATCATTTTAAATTAATTTTCAGTAAAATGTGTGTGAAAATTAGCTTTGCTGCCTTAAAACTCAA